CCAAAGCCATCCTCTTTCCGCAATTTCCTTAGGTGGGGTTGGGTCACCTTGCCTACTTCCTTCTGTCCACCCTGGGATTTTTTTTTTTCTGGTTTGAGTTTGCACAGGACTTGTGCATGCTGTCACCATTGCTGTGAGTGCGTATGAGTAGCTGACCAACCGTCTGGAAAACTGTTTCTTTGTGGTCATCCACCACTTCTGGCTCTTACAATCTTTCTGCTCCCTCTTCTGCAATGAACCGTGAGCCTTGGGGGGTGGACAGAAGTTTGATATAGGCATCCTATTCAGGGATAACACAGAGAGCCTATTTCTTAATTTTGATTCTTGAGTGTTTTGTTAAACTGTGGCAATAAGTGTTTATGCTCAAGCATGTGTGCACTAATGACACTGTGGAATCTACTGCTACCATTGGCTGGCCCTGTCTCTCTCCCCATCATTAAAGGAGAAGGCTACATTATCTGTGCTTGCAAGTTTTCACTGACTCTTATGGACTTAGAGGTTGATTTTTCTATCAAGACCCATCAGATGGGGCCCTTAGGGTATGAACATAAAATATTTTAGTCCAAGTACTTTAATTTTGGGGGCCAGTGAAACTTTAAAATCTGCTACTTATTTTGTCAAGTTGACATTTTCATTGACATTTCTAAGTAAAAATACTTAGACTTAGGAGTAGAGGGTATGAATAATTTCATATATACAGTTAGTCCTAAACTTTTTATTTCATGACTTTATGGATTCTGGAGTCCGATCAAGCACATTCAGACTTCTGAAGTATCCATTCTTGTAGATGGTTTACAAGGAACACTTGTATGATGGCAAAATACTCACTTAGCTTCTCTAGGATCTCCTCATCTGTCATCTTGGATTTTTTCCTTTGCCGATCTGTATTCCTATACAAAGTGCTGGAATTAGCATTCTCAGCAGATGGTGGGGTGACTTCTTTATTTGGTGCTGCTGGCGCAGCAATAGATTCAACCACAGAACGTGTATAGATCTTAAAGACAAAAAACACCCCCCAAATCCCACAATTAATACAATAGGTGAGGAAAAAGTATCAACCAAAGTCATTTTCATTCCATTGTTTTTTAAAGATGAGTGGTTGTCAATTAAAGAACTTAAAGGAGTTTCACAGGCCCTGCACATGGCACTGCTAATTCTAGTCTGGGTGCCCCAGCCTTTGTAATTCTTCTTACCTGGTTCACACATTTCTTTTCCTATTTCTACCTCCAGTTTTATAACTTAGCAATTATATATGCTTTTTATTATTATCAAATCATTGAATGAGATAATCTTACACCTCAAACTGTGATATCAAATCCAGGCTCTTAGCTTTAATTATTTTTACTTTATGTGTGTGAATGTTTTGCCTCCGTGTATATAAGTGAACCGATTTGTGCAATGCCAACGGAGCTCAGAAGAGGATGTCCAGATCCCCTGGACTGGAGTTAGGGATGGTTAACAACCATGTAGATGCTGGGAATCAAACCCCGATCCTCTATAAGTGCAACCAGTGCTCTTAACTGCTGAGCCATCTCTCCAGCCTCATATATATTTTCAGAGGATTTATTTATTTTTATTCATGTGAATGTATGTTTCTGCCATATGTGTTCAGGTGCCTGCAGAGGACAGAAAGTGGTATAGGATTCCCCAGAGCTGGAGTTACAGGCAGTTGTGAGATGCTTAATATGGGTGCTGGTTGCCGAACTCATAGTCTCTAGAAGAGCAGTAAACATTGTTAAATGCTAAGCTGTTTCTCCAGCCTGCAGTCTCATATCTTCCACTCTAGGTCTGGGAACATAAGAAATACACAATAGGTACTATTTGACTAACAATATTCTAAGATTATGTTCCAAATGGCATCTTTTTGAGTGTGTATGTATGTACACGTTTGTGTATGTCCATGTGTGTGAAGACCAGAAATTAGTATCACTAAGATGCTCTCCACCTTATTTTCAGATATGGGATATCTCTCTAAATCTGAAGCTGGCTAGATTAGCTATCCAGCGAACTCCAGGCATTCTCCTGTCTCTGCCTTCCTAGCACTGGGATTTAAAGTACACACCACTGGGACCAGCATTTTATGTTGGTTATGAGGAATGGAACTGAGGTCCTCATGCTTGTGCAGCAAGCACTTTACCAACTGAGTCTATCTCCCAAGTACCTAAATGGCATCCTAGTTTTGTTTTGTTTTGAGCAAGAGTCTTACTATATAGCACAAGCTGGCATGGAACTTTGGATCCTATCCTCTCAGCCTCCTGAATAATGGGATTAAGGGTACGTGTCACCATACCTATTCCAATAGGCAGATTTTGAGTCATTATATTACAGTCACTTTTATTTCTTCAGTAAAGATTTTGCTGACAATATTAATCATAGAAATGTTTGGATCTATTCAGATACACCTGTGAAGGCATAAGCATATATTCTAGTTTTGGACAGCAGATCCCATATTCATATGCTCTATTTTCTAACTTGATGAGTTTATTTATTTATATGTCCAAAACATAAAATAATTCATTGTATATATTCATCCATAGTACTGCATTACATAAAGACATTTTCACACAAGTATATAGTTTATATAGTTTACATTGAACATCTGCCCTCCCACAGTTCCACATCTGCTTTCCAGTTTTTCAGTCCCTCAGTTCCCCCATTACATAAAGACATTTTCACACAAGTATATATTTTACATTGAACATCTGCCCTCCCATAGTTTCATATCTACCTTCCAGTTTTTCATTCCCCCAGTCCCCCCCATTAGTTCCCATTGTTCTCCTAGATAGTTTTACTTCTTTCAGGACATCTATCTATCTATCTATCTATCTATCTATCTATCTATCTATGTACCTTCTATCTAATCATCTATCTATCTATCTATCTGTCTGTCTATCTATCTACCTACCTACCTATCTATCATCTATCTATCTATCTATCTATCTATCTATCATCTATCTTCTATCTGTCTAATCATCTATCTATCTACCTACCTATCTATTATCTATGTATCTATGTATCTATCTATGTATGTATGTATGTATGTATGTATGTATGTATGTATGTATCTATCTATCTATCTATCTATCTATCTATCTATCTATCTATCATCATCTATCTATCTATGATTTTACATCTGTATACACTCAGGAAACCATAAATGAGTGAACGCATATGTCACTGGTCTTTCTGACTTACTGATTTTGTATGCTCTGGTCTTGGTGCAATGACAGGTGGGGGCTCATTGTCATCTTCTTCCTCCTCCTCCTCTTCATCCTCTTCTTCAGATACAGGGGGAGCCAAAGGAGGCTCAGAAGCTGTTTTTGTACTCTTAAGGCAAAAAATGTTTAAAGAGCAGATATTAACTTTTCATTGTTCTCTTCAGAAATGCAAAAACAGAGATAAAATATTTAAATATGTAGGGATAGGAAAGAACTTCAGCTTTTACAGGTGAGCATAATTATCTAAAATTTAGTAGCCCAGACCAGTTCACATTCAGAGATAAATTAATGTCATGGTGGGAAGGATCATAAAGTGTTTATTATTTTTATTTTTCACTAAGTTCAAAATCAGTAAATTACTTACTTAATATTTTAAAGTACAATGCTTTTAAAATCAATGAGTACATGAAAAATATAATTACCTGACATTAATACCTTTAATATGTACAGAGTAGATTAAGAATTTCCTAACTGATAGTTTTTCAAGTTTGATAAGATTTACTTTCTGCTAAAGATCAAAGTGCTACCACGAATATGAATGCATCTCTGCAAATACTAAAAGCAAGGAAGCCAATGAATGCTACTTTATTGTTTAGCCTTCTATAAAGAATGACTCAGGAATAGACACGAAGAGCCAAGAATACTTACCCACACCAATAATTACTCAATATTAAACAATAGGTTATTAGTGATTTGCAATGATGTATAAAATAACATACATTGATAATTAACGATATCAATCCCCACTGCCCCTAGGGTCCATTCTCGATCATTTATCTTAATAAAGTGGCAAATGGTTCCAAATTTGAATTTTTGAAGAACTAAGGTCATGATTCTCAAATTATGGGTCCCAGCTCTTCATCATTAGCATCATCAAGAAGGGTGTTAGAAATGCAAATTCTCAGGCTCCAGCAAGACCTATCAACAACAAACTCTGGCAACCAGCAATTTGTGTTACAACAAATCTTACAGGTAATTCTAATGCAGGCTCACATTTCAAAACCATGAACTATAGTGAAGGTTTGGTATATGGCAGCTATTAGGTACATGTGGATATTGAACACTCCAAAATATAGCTAGTCCGAATTGAGATGGGCTATAATCCCAGATTTTGTATACTCCATATAAAAAGTACTCTATTTCATTAATGCTTTTTATACTGATATATGAATTTTCATTTCTTGAGAACAGAGCTCCTGAGGCATTTATAGTCAACCTCTTACCAAAGTATTACACTGAAAGACTTAAGTCTGTGTTGAAATTTTAATATGGACTTTCTATAATCTTGTCAATCCCTATTATGTAGTAATAATGTATAATCACATATCTGATAAGTGCCAGCAAGAGTTACCTATTATGAGAAGGCCATAGAATTTTTATATAAGTATGTACAAGATCATTTGCTTGCCCTGAGGTAGGCAGATGCCTAGTTTACAGACTGAAATCTATGTTTACTTGATACTGATTGTCATATATTTATTCTTTTTAAATTGAAATTTATAAAATCTAGCTTGTAAAGTAACAGATTTCCCTATGACATTTTCATACACAAGTTAACTATAATTTGGTTAATTCTCACCTCCTCCCCATTTTCCCCCACCTCTCTGCCACTCCTAACACCACTGTATTCTTCTGCGTCCAGTATTGCCTCTTCTAAGTTCATACCACATATATTCTATTGCCCTTTCCAATTCTATCCCAGAAAGCCTTTTTTCCCATCCTATGAGCTCCTTCCTTTCTAGTTTTCCAGCATCTACACATACTTACCTCTACCTAAATGCACATAATAATTAGAGAGTAGGATTTGCATACAAGATAGAACATGTTGTTTTGTCTTTCTGAGTCTGGGTTATCACTTGGCACATGTGGCAATTAAATTTTTAGTTATCATGAGAAGATGCCATACTGATTTTCATAATGGTTAGGCCAGGTTAAACTCCTACCAGCAGTGAATAAGGAAGTGTTCCTCTTTCTTCACATCCTTGCCAGAATTTTTGTCTTTTTTTTTTTTTTTTTTTTTTTTTTTTTTAAAAAAAAAAAAAAAAAAAAAAAAAAAAAGAGGACGATAAATCTTTCACTGTGATATATCAAAATAAGGCCTTGAACTCACAGAGATCTGCCTGCCTCTGCCTCCCCAGTGCTGGGATCAAAGGCATGCATCACCACTCCCGGCAATTTTTTTCTTCATGGAAGTAGTTCAGAGCCATTTTGAATAGGGTAAGATGGAATTTCAAAGTAGTCTTAATTTGTATTTTTCTAACCACTAAGCATGCTGAATATTTTTTTTTAAATCATTGGCCATTTTTATTTCTTCTTTTGAGAATTGTCTGTTCAGCCCATAAGATCATGTATTGATTGGCAACTTTATTTTTGATATTTATTTGTAGTTGTTTATATATTTAAGATATTATCCCTTTTCTGAAGTATAGCCAAAAGAACTAGTCTATAACATTGTATTATTCAGTATACTACACCAAATCTTGGGGTTGGGGAAATGGTTCACTTAGTGAGGTGCTTCTCACCCAAGTCTGAGGACCTGTGTTCCATCACCAGCATTCACATCTAAAGCTGGGCATGGTGATATAGACTCTTAATCCCAGCACTGGGGAGTCAGAAACAGATGGATTTCTGGGGCTCACTAGACAGCCATCCTATCCAAATTAGCAAGCTATAGGTCCCAATGAGAAACTCTGTCTCAAAAAGCAAGGTAGGGGCTGGAGAGATAGCTCATCAGTTAAGAGCAACTGGCCACTCTTGCAGAAGACCTGGGTTTGAATCCCAGTACCCACCATCCTTAGATCCAGTTCTAAGGAACCCGATGCCCTCTTCTGTCCTCCATGGGCACTGCATGGCACAGTACACTTACATACATGCACACATAACATTCACATACATAAAATGAAAATAAATAAATAAAAAATTTTAAGCAGGGTGGACAGCTCTTGAGGAACACACATGAGGTTGTGTTATGGCCTCCACATGCTTACACATCATACATACACAACCCCCCACCACATAAAAAAGAATGCACTGAATTCATGTTCCATGATAGAACAGAACTTTCCTATAAGCTGAGGGCTTTATTTTTGTTTCTAACATGGAACTTGTCCAGGGAAGAAAGTCTTTATGTGGATCTATGAAAATGTTTGAGGTCAAAAACAAATAATCAGCTCTACAGAGCCATAATGAAAGTATAAAATACAAATTAACTGCTAATTATATATGCACTGAATGAAATAATGCAACATGTCTTAAGTCTTTAGTGATTTGCTACAAAATTATACCTAATCATAAATTAAGCACTACATATAACAAAATGTTAAAACAAATATTTTAAAAATCACTTCAAAATACATATTGTCTATAAATATATAAAAATGACCTCGGTGAAAATATAAGGACCCAAAGTCTATTCTCCATGACCCAAACTTTAGTTTCTTCTCATCACAAAATTTCATGCATGTCAAATCCTGATATTTCACTAGATAAGAGCCACCTGCAGTTTCTTAGTGACTATTTCTTAACTTTCATTACTGTTGTTATTGTTATTATTCTTATTTCAAATGGAGGATATTCTCGATCTCCAACTATGGACTTTGAGTACTTTAATAAAGCCTGAATATCTTTGCCTCCTGAAGGTTTGTGGGACAAGAGGAAGACATATTTCTGTTTACCCTGAATCAAACACAATCTTGTCATATATATTTGTTGACTAGAAGGGATGTGGACATTAATGGACAGTATATTTTTTAATTATGTGTAGACCCTGAAACATTACAAAACATTCCCCCTGAAGTAAAGTTCCTTCTAACTAATCTCTATGTTTAAAAAAATGTATCAGGAACTCACATATTTTTCTATCTCTGCATTAATACAGGGACTGGGCATACTTTCACTTTCCTGTGTTAATATTGGACAGACATAAATTACTCTTTTTATGTTAAATGATATGGAGAGTATGCAAAAATAACTTCATAATTTAGAAGATATTTGCTCTGGGAATATTACTGCAAACCTTCAAAACTAGGTTATTAAGTCTAAAACCTTACCAAGATTCACCTGAAGACCCTTATCTTGCTGTATTCATCAACCTAAAGCTATTTAAAAAAAACAGTATACAATATTAACCCATTTCAAAACCCACCTTAACATCAGATAGGCTAGCCCTGGAAGGCCTGTATTCTTTTCTGACATCGTCTCTCTAAGAGACCACTAAAACTCTGTAGGTAGTACTCTTTTTATACTAAGGTAAGTTTAGTAAACAGCACTGTTCAGCAGCACTGTACTGGTCTTTTCTGAGGAATCAGTGATGCAATATTTGCATGCTCTTCTTTCTAAATCTGTGAAAATCTAGCAAGGAAGAAAGTGAGTAAGGGATGTTTTTATCTTACCTAAATTACGTATTTTTTGCATTCTTATGAAAGCACACACTGTAGCGTTGGAGACACTTCTTAATGTGGGTGGATCCCTGAATTTAAAAAATTCTTGTTTAAAGAACAGATTTCAGAGTTCTATTTAAGACCTGTATTGGGAGAAGAGGCTTGGAAACGGCATTTTAACAGAATTCCAGGGCAACGCTGATGCACCTCAAGGAAAAGAAGCACTAGTCAAGATTAACAAAAGGAACCAGTATTACAAATTAAAAAGGAATGATTTGTCAAGCACACACCCAGGTTCTTGAGGGGCAAATTGTGGCACATTGCTAGTGCTACTTTTTACCTTCTATTTTGAATAAGAGCTGAGGATTATAAATATATCATTTCATTATAACAGTGCAATAAATACAAAACATTAGAATTAAAAATTAGTTATTAATTAAAGATAAGGCTCCTGAAAGATACTTGGAATAAAACTCACCAATTATCGAAAAAGTGAGAATTGTTGAGGGAGAGCTGGCTCAATTGGTAAAGTGCTTGTCATGCAAACATGAAGACCTGAGTTCAGATCCCCACCATGCACATAAAAAACTCTGCATGATGGCAGTCTCCACTGAGGAATCAGAGATATGGGGGTCTCTGGCGCTCACTAGCCAGGTTTAGCTGAAATAACAATCTCCAGGTCCAATGAGAGACCCTGTCTCAAAAAATAAGGTGGCCCTTGGGTCATTAT